GTGGGAATATTTTCAGCTTGAGCTCATATCTCATTGAATATTCATTCTTCAAAGTTTCTTTCTCATATGGATTCTGTGGCACCTATCACTCTCTTCAGCTTTAGTATCGTTAAGCTAAAAAAAGAGCCAACCATGAGATGCAAATTCACAGAAAATTAAGTTTTGTTACTTTTAATACTCAGGGAACAGTATTAAGTCAGCAACACTGTCCCAGAAAGACAACACCTGAGCTGCTACCCAGAACCTGGGCGTACTAAGCCTGCGATGTTCCAAATTGTTGGATTGTACAGGTTCGCAAGGCATAACATTCATTCAATGCTGCAAATTACCAAATCTTCCCAAATTAAGATTATGAACTCCACCAATAAAATAGAGCCAGGAAGGATTCCAAGATGTTATCTAGCCCATCCTCAAACTCCTAAGAATAACCATACTGAGTTAGACCAAAGATCCATCTAGCCCAGTAGGCTGTCTCACTAGTGGCCAAAAGCAGGTGCCTAGGGCATAGAGTAAGAACAAGGCAAGCAAACTCTTAATACTTGCCCAGCTTTTAACCATTATTAGCTGAGATACTTCTCATGGGAGACGGGGTTTCCATGTACTCAGTAACCCTCAGATTCTCTCCTTAGGCTTGCCTCATCCCCTCTTGAACTATTTCAGATGTAATCAGTCACAACAGGCTTTGACAAGAAGTTCCCTGGTCAACCACCCATTGTGCTGAGAATGACCTTTTTGTTTTGAACATTACTCTTACTAGTTTCACTTGACAATCTCTGGTTCTTGCGTTGGATGAGGCAACAGTCAATCCCTATCCTCTCTTCCACACTACTCATGGTTTTACAGACATCTACCACATAATCCTCCAAGTTCTCTCTTTTCCAGACTGTACAGAAGTTGTTTCTTATGTTGAATCTTCTTCTAACTCTTCCACAGTTCTTTTTTGAGATGGGGGACCACAACTGCAACACCATAAGATATGGGTGAACCACAGCTTTATACAGTGTCATAATAAAGTTCTCCACTTTATTCCAGTCCTGATTTTTAGCATTTGCTTTGCTTTTTTGATTGATACTCAGTCCTGAGCTGATATTCTCATGAAGTTTTCTATTGCAAGGCTAAGATCTCGCTTTTGGCTGGTAGCCATCAGTGCTACCACTTTCTTTAAATTTACAAATTTATATCGATCTGTGAGATATAAAAATGGTGGGCTCTGAGAAGTTAATAGTTTTCCATGTTTATCATTTAATATTCATCTAAGCTAAATTTATTTTGTCATTTTATTGCGCATTCATCTGCATAAGATCCTTCCACGATTACCCAATGCAGGCCTTCATTTTTACTACCCTAAATAGCTTGGTATTACTAAACTTTGCCTTGTCTTTTCTCACCCTCTTTTGCAAGGGGTATATTAATACACCAAAAGCAAAATCATGTTCTTACAAAGCCTCCGATAAGAGGCTTTCCCTAAACAACATCAGTTCTTAACTATCCTACTTTCAGAAAGGTTTACTAAACATCTACTTTAATATGTGCACTTACATTTAATAAGCTGCATACACAGAGGAAATACTTCTAATATATTATTTACAAAATATCACAGCTGTCCTAGAAAGGCTTCTATCAGGAGGGAGGTCATTTAAACCACAAGGAATACTTCCTATTGTGTTCCTTAATAAGCA